AGCTGTGATTTAATTATTTTTTTATCGTATTCTCAATTGATCGTCTATTGGGACTTAACCCGAAACCTAAAGTGATATATCGTTGTAGATCCTGGGAGAATGGTTGGTTTCTTGTACTACATGTACATGACTTCAACTGACATGCTTTATCTGCGACACCAGTGCGATCAAACCAAAAATGAAGTATTGCTACCAATTCTGGACTGGAGCTATCCGATTCTCGTTTTCAAGCCTACGCAACTTTTAAGTCTCTGGATTAGAGAACACAACTTTTGAACTGTAAAAGACTGGCACCATTTTCTTTAATCTCACAAATTATATTTCCAACTCTTTCATACAGATAGTCGAAGTCATTTGTAGAGGTGGCCGCATTAAGTTAAGGAACAGAGGCTGGTAAATAGAGGGACGAATAAGTTAAGGAACAGAGACCGGTAAATAGAGGGACTAATAAGTTAAAGAACAGAGGTCGGTAAATAGAGGAACTAATAAGTTAAGGAACAGAGACCTGTAAATAGAGGGACTAATAAGTTAAAGAACAGAGGCCGGTAAATAGAGGGACTAATAAGTTAAAGAACAGAGGCCGGTAAATAGAGGGACTAATAAGTTAAAGAACAGAGGCCGGTAAATAGAGGAACTAATAAGTTAAGGAACAGAGACCGGTAAATAGAGGGACTAATAAGTTAAAGAACAGAGGTCGGTAAATAGAGGAACTAATAAGTTAAGGAACAGAGGCTGGTAAATAGAGGAACTAATAAGTTAAAGAACAGAGGCCGGTAAATAGAGGGACTAATAAGTTAAAGAACAGAGGCCGGTAAATAGAGGAACTAATAAGTTAAGGAACAGAGACCGGTAAATAGAGGGACTAATAAGTTAAAGAACAGAGGTCGGTAAATAGAGGAACTAATAAGTTAATGAACAGAGGCCGGTAAATAGAGGAACTAATAAGTTAAAGAACAGAGGCCGGTAAATAGAGGGACTAATAAGTTAATGAACAGAGGCCGGTAAATAGAGGGACTAATAAGTTAAGGAACAGAGGCCGGTAAATAGAGGAACTAATAAGTTAAGGAACAGAGACCGGTAAATAGAGGGACTAATAAGTTAAAGAACAGAGGCCGGTAAATAGAGGGACTAATAAGTTAAAGAACAGAGGCCGGTAAATAGAGGGACTAATAAGTTAAAGAACAGAGGCCGGTAAATAGAGGAACTAATAAGTTAAGGAACAGAGACCGGTAAATAGAGGGACTAATAAGTTAAAGAACAGAGGTCGGTAAATAGAGGAACTAATAAGTTAATGAACAGAGGCCGGTAAATAGAGGAACTAATAAGTTAAAGAACAGAGGCCGGTAAATAGAGGGACTAATAAGTTAATGAACAGAGGCCGGTAAATAGATGGACTAATTAGTTAAGGAACAGAGACCGGTAAATAGAGGAACTAATAAGTTAAAGAACAGAGACCGGTAAATAGAGGGACTAATAAGTTAAAGAACAGAGGCCGGTAAATAGAGGAACTAATAAGTCAAAGAACAGAGGCCGGTAAATAGAGGGACTAATAAGTTAACGAATAGAGGCCGTTAAATAGAGGGGATAATAAGTTAAGGAACAGAGGCTGGTAAATAGAGGAACCAATACGTTAAAGAACAGAGGCTGGTAAATAGAGGAACTAATAAGTTAAAGAACTGAGGCCGGTAAATAGAGGGACTAATAAGTTAAGGAACAGAGGCCGGTAAATAGAGGAACTAATAAGTTAAGGAATAGAGGCCGGTAAATAGAAGAACTAATAAGTTAAAGAACTGAGGCCGGTAAATAGAGGGACTAATAAGTTAAGGAACAGAGGCCGGTAAATAGAGGAACTAATAAGTTAACGAATAGAGGCCGTTAAATAGAGGGGATAATAAGTTAAGGAACAGAGGCTGGTAAATAGAGGAACCAATACGTTAAAGAACAGAGGCTGGTAAATAGAGGAACTAATAAGTTAAAGAACCGAGGCCGGTAAATAGAGGGACTAATAAGTTAAGGAACAGAGGCTGGTAAATAGAGGAACTAATAAGTTAACGAATAGAGGCCGGTAAATAGAAGAACTAATAAGTTAAAGAACTGAGGCCGGTAAATAGAGGGACTAATAAGTTAAGGAACAGAGGCTGGTAAATAGAGGAACTAATAAGTTAACGAATAGAGGCCGTTAAATAGAGGGGATAATAAGTTAAGGAACAGAGGCTGGTAAATAGAGGAACCAATACGTTAAAGAACAGAGGCTGGTAAATAGCGGAACTAATAAGTTAAAGAACCGAGGCCGGTAAATAGAGGGACTAATAAGTTAAGGAACAGAGGCCGGTAAATAGAGGAACTAATAAGTTAAAGAACTGAGGCCGGTAAATAGAGGGACTAATAAGTTAAGGAACAGAGGCCGGTAAATAGAGGAACTAATAAGTTAACGAATAGAGGCCGGTAAATAGAAGAACTAATAAGTTAAAGAACAGAGATGATGGTGCATTTCCTCAAAAGAACGCAACCCCACCACCGAACGCGACTGGTATAAAACTGCTTCCATTAATACTTTGTTGATATCCAAGTATTCCATACTTAATCGACAGCTTTAAACGCCACTGAAGATATTTGCAGAAACTGCCAACGAGTCCTGGAACGTACCTCGATAGATATAGTCATGTAGCAACACATTGAGGCCATGTCATACCGTTATTCAAATTACATTTAACATTTCAGATTTGTGGATCGGGTTTTAAGCAACAGAAAACTGTTAAATTGAATGTGTTGTGTAACTTTTCAACTTTGGTAGGCTTATTCTTCTATATATCACTTCATGTTGACAGCGATCATGGGGCTTCACAACTTCCTATCTTTCGTAACTCTATTTTCTTACTCTTGTCCCGATTCTGCCATCCATCTTCACAAATTCATTAGGGTTGTTCCCCTGTGTTCCTCTTGCTGTCATTATTTCCTGTGAGTGGCAAATTCTCCAAGCCCTCTTTTCTCATTAAGTGTTCTAGATATTTCAAATGTCTCTTTTTGATTTTAAGTGTTTTTTTTTTTTGTTTCCATTTTCTTTACAGCTTATGCATTACACCCATTTTCAGTCCATGGGATTCACAGCATCCTTCTGTAGAACCATATTTCTGTTACCTGACGTCATTACTTCATCAGCGAGGTAATTTTTCAAAATTCACTGTCACAGAGGAAGACGGATGTTAGATAACAATTCAGTATTTGTTTTTGTTTTGTTTTTTGTAAAGTTTCCTTTTTGTTTTCTTAATACTTTGCTTAGCTTTTAGAAGGCATCTTTCGTTATTCTCATTTCGAATTCCGGTGTCACATTTTACGTCGTATCTTGATTTTAATTTTTGATTTTCTTTCATATTTCTTCCCTCCCGCACCTTTTTGTGCATACACTGTATGTGCATTTGGGGGGACTTTTTATCTCAGCAGTATGCACCCAAATGTATGTTAGTTTCATTTCTTTTTAGTTTAATTGCGATAATTCCGATCAAAGATGACACTTCAACTAACAATCAATACTATGAAAATTTGCTATGTCATATATTACGACCCCCCCCCGGTTATAAAACCGCTGACAGCTAAACCCATAGATGTGGATTCGAGTCATGTGCGAAAGTATATTTGGTCTGAATTTGTGCAATTAAACTTGATCACTAAATATTAGATCGGTCGGAAACATTTTCATAAAAATTTCTACGAATACTTGAAAAAATGTCTGCCAAACATACTTCGTAGCAGAGAAACACTAATATATATTTTTTTTATTAGCCTTAGATGTCAGTGTTGAGCCTACATAGAAAGGACATATTTTCGAACTTTCATTTTTAAGGTATGTATGTCCTCTCTACTTCAGTTTGACGTAACACTGTTTTCCAATTCACATTTCCTTCCATTTGGTTTTGTCCTGTAGTAATATCATAATCCTTAGTCTCATCATCTGGTGTGATCCCTGTAGCGTGTCTTCGGCCAAAGTGTACTTGGATAAACCATCCCTATCCAAGTTAAACTTAGCAAACATCTAAGAAAATGAGTGAAATAATGAAGAGACCTTATCTCAGGGATCACGGGTAGCTTAATACTTCTAATGAATTTTACTGAAAAGCGAACATTTAAAAAGAAATCAATATTTGTGATTAGTTTGATTGATTGTTTTTGTTTAGCGGTATATAAACACCTCTATGGGTTATTTAATGTCGAAATCTAAATATTTTGCACGCAGCTTTTATTTTTATAAAATGTAGATAATAATGGTTTTAGTGACACAATTAACCCATAGCTAGGGGAGAAGGTTATTTCCGCGTAAATGAATATAATAAACCCAATTGAAATTGGAACTCCGCTCTCCGATTAACAATTCCAAGCCATTATCCATTACACCATCCACACATCCATGCTTACAGCACCTGATATTCCCAAGCAGTCATCCATCTAAGTACTGACCAGACTTGATAAAACTACAGATATAATTCAAGTATATTGTCTTTAGATATTAAACCTAGAGTCATTCAAGATGTGAATTTAACATAGTCTGGCACAGGGTCACAAGTATTGGGCCCTAGCAGCTCCAAAATTGAGAATCAAAGTGCAACACTCATCTCCTTCAGTCTCAGGTGCCTGTAGAATATAAACTTTAGAATTTTAATATTTAAGAAAGCTTTCTTTAAAATTTGACTGCCAGAAAACCATGACCGTGTATATTATATGCCATAAAACTATAGATTGATTGATTGGTTTTTATGGATTAACAACACTTTTTAGGTTATTTAAAGCCATAAAATATTTTAAACTGTAGGAATTTTGTATGGAGATAATAATGGTTTAGTGATACAAAACTTACGAATTAACAAATGGTTGGGAGAAGTGGATTTATACTTTTTCTAAGGATTAATTGCACATAAATGTATATAATGAACCTAACTGGAATTGGAACTCACCTCTCTGATTAACAATTCTAAGCCATTATCCATTACACCACCCACACATCCATGCTTACAGCACCTGATATTCCCAAGCAGTCATCCGAGTACTGGCCAGCCTCGATGTTGCTTAACTTCGGTGATCGTACAGGAAGTGATGTTTCAATGTGGCCGTAAGCCGCTTAGTTTGAATGCAAAATAAAGGAGAATTAAATAATAAACCGAAATACATTTTCCATCGTTTCGTGAGTCCAGCATTTTTTAAAAAATAATGCTGTGTACAAAGCAACGTCAAACTCAAAGGAATATCATTGTTTGAACGCTTCTCCCTTCTCGATTCTGATTCATTTGCCTTGAAAATTGTTTGTCGCAGCCAGCAGAGAAAATTGGTAAACCAAGGCGAAGGCTAATCAATTCTTTTTCTTTATTAGAAATTAATCATTACTCAAAGAAAGGAAAAAGACGAGAAATGCTTCTAGTTTCTTCGGTAGATGTCGACCACATTTAGTTAGGCCGATGAGGACTCATTAGTTGTATATCCTCATGTGTACGTATTGCATATACATAAAGTTCATCATATTGGAATATATATTTATTAAGCTTAAGGCTAAAAGTGTGAAGCATCTGGTAATGATGGAACTGAAATTAGCTTGTCGATCATTACATCACGGAAATGCGACAGTCGTATCTGAGCCTAGTTTTGCTCTCGTATATTCTTAAGTTTTTGTAAATAAACCTTTGAGTATATATATATATATATATATATATATATATATATATATGTGTGTGTGTGTGTGTGTGTGTGTGTGCGTGTGTGTGTAAAAGACAATAGGAAAACTGTAATATTAGCCGACGCGTTTCGTCCAATGTGGACTTTTTCAAGACAAAAATTAAATGAATTTATTAAAACAAAGTAACTATTAATAACAAAGCCTTTCTCCCTATCTCACCTTTTCCTAACAGAATTCCTACTCTTCCAAGTCAACGTACACAACTGTATCAAGAAATCAAAAGAAAATGGTTGAATCCGTCACGTGACAATACTTGACGTAATTTTCACATGACAATATGAATATAATAGCGTTTTCTAAATTCTTCCAGTTGCTAAGGACATTTTGTTTTGTTATTATTGCTTTCTTTCTTTAATAAATTCATTTCGTTTTTGCCTTGAAAAAGTCCACATTGGAAAACGCGTCATTAATATTACAGTTTTCCTATTGTCTTTTACACACACGCACACACACACACACACACACACACACACACACACACATACACACATATATATATATATATATATATATATATATATATATATGTAATGGGTGTTCCAAAAATATGGACCGATTTTAAAGGTGAATTAAGGTTGAAATCGGTCCAAGTTATATGTATGAATTTATGAGTATATATAAATATATGAATGACATTTCTCCCTGGGATATTCTTCTGGTCAAGGCCCAGGGAGAATATCCCGGGGTGAAATGGCCCTCTAAATGGAGTAAAAGAGTTTCATTTTTATGTAATTCATTTATAGGCTCTATAATAAATATATTGAGCTCTGTTTTGTGGATCAGTTTTAATATTTTATATCATTAGGATCTGCTTGGATTACTTACGCACTGTTTTTTACCTATATATATATTTATATATATATATATATATATATATATATATATATATATATATATATATATATATATATATATATATATATTGCACCTCCTCAGTTAACATTTTCCGTTGACAGGAATTGGAAAGATTATGTTGAATCAATTTTCTACGAGAGTCGACTGAAAAGTTCATAGGTTCACCAAGATACTCGCATGGAATGTGAGCAAACAAGGTTTACTTTGCAACATAGTCCATCTACCTTGCAGTCTACACATCTGTTCCATCAGTGTTGCAGTGATTGGATCCCGTTAGTGAAGAAGCTTTCATCCTGTTGTTCAAAAAGACCTCAGTAGCAAATATGACGTCATCATCAACTACAATACTGCTTCCAAGGCAAGTGCTCTTTCATGTTGGGTAGCAGATGATAATCAGATGAGACCAATCTGTTATTGGTCCCGAGCTGGCATCTCTGCGTCAGTCACTTAAATATTTTAGTGATAGTTGTTCTGATGAACTTTCCTCTATGGTACCTAGACTTTATGGATTTAAGCGCAGTACTAGATTGGCGGTAAGGTCTCATCATTTTACAGTTGAAATGGCCGCTAGATGTAACCGTAAAGACTATGCTAACAGTTTCTTTTCTCACATTCCCCGCTTGTGGAACTCTCTTCCGGTTTCTTGCTTTCGGCTGAACTTTGATCTTCATAAATTTAATGCAATGTCTGTTGTTTTTATAGTTCTTGCTCCTTAAAACTGTATTTCATTTTCTTATATTCTTTCACTATTCCAATGTGTTATATACTTTACCTATGAACACTAATGGGTATGTCCCAATCCTCATAAATACGTTGGACATTATTGTAATTGGGGGTCATATACTAAATAAAGCAATTCGATAACTTTAAACATTTAGTTCGTTGTTCAGTCAGGCATGTTATAATTTTGTAAACTATATTTATTAAATTTGTATATTATGCTATTCAAATATTAACTTAGCTTACTTCCCTTTATTTACTTATTTCCGTTTTGTTTTGTTTGGCTGTGATTTAAATGCCAGGGTGGTTACCACTTTGACTTTATTTGAGTAATTAAGCAATGCAATTGTAAAATTCATTAACAAAACAATCACTTATTTATAAAAACGAAAAATAAAACACATTAGAAATAAAAATCAACCCATTTTGTTTTAATTTGGTTATTAGAATCAAATATTCAAATGAGTTATCCGCATTAAGTGAGCCCACTAAACTATTGAAGATCTAAGAGACATACTCGTATGGAACTCTTATAAAACCATACTTACTTGATGTCAAGGAATTTATACGCACGTACGCATTCATAGAATTATATATATATATATATATATATATATATATATATATATATATATACTTTATTGCAGGATATTACATTCAAACATGTATAAAACCGCTATATAAATGCACTCATGTTTCGATGTGTATTATCACATCTCATCAGGCCTTACTAAATGACTGATTATTAATTATTAGAATTTACTTACAAACAACCTCTTTTCCCGCGAAAAAAAGGAGAAATAAAAGAAAAAGAGCAAGAAAGAAAGATACAAGATCTAATCTCTTTTACAGAGAAAAGGAAGAAGAGAATAAAGAAAATATAAATATAAGGAAATTATAGAAATGTAAAGTAGCAGGGCATGTTATGTTGATGATCGGTTCAACCAATAAAAATGGTTGTAAGTAGGTCATGAAATACAGATTTAAAATTGCAACGAATACAAACATTGTATTTGAAACAAAATTTTGCTACAATGTTGACGTCCAACAGCTGACATTTCATATGAAGAAGAAAAAACGTAATTTAACAATACTTTATAGTACATAAGTAATATGGCTCTTTAAGAAATAAAAGAAGAAAAGGAAAGAAAAATATTTAAGAAAACAAAATTAAATAAAATATTAAATAAATGGATTAAACAATCTTTTATTATATAGATCATATAAAAAATAATAAAATAATTTCATATGGATATATATACATATATAGGTGTGTGTGTGTGTGCATAATTACATTTCAGTGTTTCAGGCGAGCATTCCCACAAACGGTGTACTTTATATATTAGATAAGTGTGTGCGTAGTTAAGGATCCTTTATAGCATATCATGGATAAAAAAAAAAGTCAGTCATTTCCTCTTAAAGTAATATGTGACGTGTAGTACCGGGTTATATGATGTTTAGTCGCAAAGAATAATCGCCGACTTCATCAAGAATCATGACATTTAAGATTAAGATGAAATGTTTGACCTCTGAATTCCGTTTGGCCTTGAATTTCCTGCCTTGAGAATTATAAATTCGTTTTCCCTTTGACTGGCACGAAATTTATCCAAAGTTCCTATCTTCTGACTAACTTATTTTGTTCGCTCAATCCATCGCCATTTTGAATTTAAGATTTCTCTCTCATTACTGAAGATGTGTAAATAATGGCGACTAATTTCGGTGTCCTGAGGCATATGTGGGCGACTGTTTTCGAGCACTTTAACTGACTGTAAATGAGATTGAAGTTCTATTTATATTCTAAAAAAATTGGCTCTCAATAATCGATTAAAAGTTGATTGGTTTTCGCGAGTAATTATAGTATATAAAAAGACGTCTCCACAACAATTTCTCTCTTGTGTAAATGACGCCAAGTTTTTTTTCTAACAAAACAAACGGTTTAAAGATGAGGATTTTCTTTCAGCAAATAAAACTTTAGTGCCGTATTCTTCTTTTAAGCCAGGAACTGGAAGATCATGGCTCTCTGCTACTTCCTATCCATTGTAGCTTTAAGTAATATTTTCCCCTTCTTATCTTTCAGTCTGTGTTCTGTTAGTCACTTACCCAAGCTCCTTAGGTAGATCACTCACTGTTTCTCTAGGCTCTTTAGTTCAATATGTCCTATGAGAATTAAATTCTCTAAACCAACCTTTTACAAAAAGGCTCCAAACTTCATAAAAACAAAGTTTTATCATTAAAGTGTTTATGTTATTGTCAAGAGGAAAGATCAAAGTATTTTTTATAATTTTTTATCAAAGACTTGGAAAATGATCAGTATAACGACTGCGTTGTTGACAAAGAATTCAAAGTCTTGTTTAACGATACGGACACGGAGAGCTACGTTGAAGGATTTTAGTTTATTAATGGTTGGCTTTGGTGTTTACTAGCTAAGGCTCTTACACTAAGTTCCATGTTGCTTAGAAGGAATCGTAGATTTCCTCGTTTTGTAATTTGCAGACAGTTTCTTTGTTTAGTAAGAAGCAGTATAACTGCGTTGAAACCACATTTAGCCACATAGGAAGTTGGAAAAACAATGAAGATGTTTGATATATTCACACAGATTTAGATACCTTTCAGAATTTTCCTTTTGTAGTCAAGATTGAATAAATTTTTGAAAATTTGAAAAAAATGGATAAATGCCCCCGTCAGTAAGTATACCGCCACCAAATAAATTAAATACTCCCACTGTCCTATTTCAACATAACAAAGTCCACAAGGGGTCCCTAGCGTCCACGTTGGGAAACACTTACGGCTGACAGAAGGGAGCTATG